GGACATCATGTCTTGTTCCATCCACCAACTCCACGTTGCACCACAGACTGATGCTTTAATCCAGGGGCCTCATGTACAAAGACTTGCGTGGATTTCATACTGAAACCTGGTGTACGCTTCAATCCAGAAAACTGTGTACGCACAAAAAAATCCAGACGAACTAAAGCACATTTCCTTTGTACATCTCACTCAACGTGGAATTGACCACATGTTGGAGTATCAGACTCCTCCCTCTCCACGCCCCCAATTTAAATATGCAAATTAGTATAAACAGGGCCGACAGGTGGGATTCCCTCTCTGCATGATCAGATAACAGTAACCAGGATGAACGCACCCTGTTTGAGCAGAGAGTCGCCACTATTGTGGGTGACGTTGCTGTCACAGGGGTGGTGGGAGCACACGTAGGTCACTCAGATCACCCCAAGGTAAATATTTATTGTGTAACTCACAGATTTATTCATTATTCGGCTCATACAATAATCTGCTTGCAGCCAAACAACATACAGGTTCTTGCGTAATCATGCCAGGATATCAAAGAGGAAATCAAAGACTTTGTCTCATGTGAAATTGCTCAATTTATTATTTTCCAACAGACAATGAGGCAGGAGAAGACTGTGAGACGCAGTCCCAGCCTCGTGTCACAGACCCGGATTCCTCCAGCTGATCCTCCGCCGCAACAGCCAGCTGCTGATGCCCGTCCGGGGCGCACATGCTTAACGCGTGCCAGAGGGATCAATATTAAGACAATTAAATTATTTACTTACCAAGAAGCCACCCATCCCGCACCGTGCAGCTTCTCGTCTGTTCCCAACTACGCTGTTCGTCAGAATGAACGAGTCGTGTTTTGATTCAGGCCACCTCGTAACAACGTTACTTAAATGTATTTGCGCATCACAGATGATCTGTACATTGAACTGAATGAAAATGCCTCCTGTTTACATAAACACATCCATCTAGTGATGGTGCCTCTATAGCAATGTGTGTGCAGTCGATAGCTCAGATTACAGCAGGAAAACCGGCCGTCGCTACAAATTGCTCGTTTATGTCGTCCTGTTCAACTGCGGTGTGGGAGCTTGATGTACCTGGCTGACATTCGGATGGTTCCACCCGACACAGCTCGGCTCAATGTCGACTGGCACAGTCCTGATCGGTCGTCCAGCTCCCTCTGAATTGACCCTGTGGCTCGGAAGCCCAGTGGGTCAGCACCTGTATGGGCACAGGTAGGACATGGCTCCTGGATGTGTTGCGCTCCAATACTGGCCGCAGCTCCGCGCACAGTTCTAAGAGAATTACCTCGGGAACGTAAACGATGAGCCAGTCGGGTTTTCGGGGACCGAGAGGATTTTTTTGACTCAGGACGATCCTGAGCCAAAAAATTCTCTCGGTCTCCGACAACTTGTTCTCTTGGCACTGCTGCATTGGCAATATCCTCCAACAGGTCCAAAGCTGCCGTTGTTGTTAACGGCATCTTCTGCACCGTTTTACACACACTTCTATATCCACTCATCTGATTGCAAACACCTGGGTTTGTTAATTGTTCATCTAAGTGTCTCTGATGTGCACATCACTTTGAGGAATGACCTTTTTTTACATTGTTTTGTACATTTTTACATTCCCAGCATCACCTCTAAGTGTCGCCAACGGCTCAAAGCAATAGAAACGTGCGTACGCCAGTCAAGGAGTTGACATGGAGGACCGCACATTTCCATGATCATTTCACTCTTGATACATCTGAACGTGAGCCTGGAAAAGTGCTTACGCCAAGTGTTTGTGCGTACGCACCCTCTGTACATGAGGCCCCTGGTCTGGGAGGAGATCCCTCAGGAGAACGTCCACCACCTCATTCCACATCCACACCTCCATGGGATAATCATTTTGATTTACATTGATCATTTTTATGTTATTTTGCTCTCAACACATTCCACCATGTAATTAATCAATATAAGATCTAGGATGTGTTATTTTAGTGTTCCCTGTATTTTCTGAGCAGTGTATAAGGATGTGAAATATAAGCTACTGTGAATGTAAATGTAAAAGTTATTGTGGCCTTTTTCAACAAAGAAGTGTTTGTGGTGAAATATAAATGCTAACAATCAACTCAGAATCATGAAAAAACCCTGATTTGACCCCTCATAAGTTACTTAAGCCAGATTTTTAAAAATCAATTTTTCGTCTATCGGTTATCGGTACCCTAACTTGAGCAGGTTTTTTTTAAGGTTTCCCACGGGAACTGAACTTCAACATTTTAAGGCATGTTATTACACACCTTTACAAACATATTGGTGAAGAAATTGTTTGGTAACGATTTAGTTGCCAGATTTTGATATTTTTCCCTTACTACTAATGGTCACTTGCAGTAGCTCTACCTGATGATGCTCTCGTCCTCGCTGTCCGAGTAGCTGCATCCCACCGTCTTCAGCTCCATCATCTCCTTCTCGTCTGCAGCGCTGCCTTCGCCGCCGCCACCGCCCTCCGCCGCCGTCACCGCCGCCACGTTGGCCAGCATCACCAGCTGAGGGGCGGGCAGCGTGTTCCTGGGCATGTCGCTGAGGCTCTGCCCGTCCTCCATCAGAGAGACCCCCACGGGGAACATCTCCACCGAGAACACCGACTGAGCGGCCATGTCGAGTTCAGCTGTTCACCTCCGTAGGACCAGAACCTGCAGAGACCAACAACACGGAGGATCAGATGTGGCTGCCGGCTGAACGTTTGCATCTGCTCGTAGACCCACATGAAGAAGAACAGGACCAGAGAGCTTCATTTCAGACAGGTTTTGAACATTTTAGACAAGTTTCAAGTAATTAGGGTCCGAGCACTAACAGCACAAGGACCCTATTGAAATCCTTGGGTTCATTATTATTATTTGACACAATTTAGAAACTCAAATTAGAGGGTCTACACACTCACGAAAACTCACCCACATCCCCACACACACCAGGATTGGAGAAAAATTTGATATTTTAAGGGACGTGGACATGTCACTGTCAAAATGGCTCCACAGCGCCACCTTGAGGATTTCAACGGAGTCCCATCAGAAGGCCGAGAGCAGGGGTCGGCAACCTAAAACACTCAAAGAGCCATTTGGACCCATTTCCCATGGAAAAAAAAACAAACACTGGGAGCCGCAAAACCCTTTTGACATCCAAAATGAAGAGAACACTGCATCGTTTTTACCTTTATGCTATGTATAAGTTCATCAGCGCTTTTCAGTAAACCTGACAGGAAATCCGCCATGTTAGAAAAACGGCTAGCATGCCGAGCAATTTTTGCTGTTTTTCGGCCAATTCCTGGCATTTTCAAAATCTATCTCCTCCCAGGGGGTATGTCGTACACACCTGAAATGTGGCCAGCACCAACTACAGGAGGTGGTGATTAAAAGGTATTAAAACGCTACGCAAAAGTCTGACGGCGTGGAAATGGCGACCAATTTGCATAAAAGGCCAATATTTGCATTTTTGGTGTGTGTCCGGCACTCAACGGAGTCGTGTCAGAAGGTCGTTTCACTGAGACCTACGAGATTCGATGGGCTTGTGTAGCAGGTGGGGACTCATAAAAAAGTAAATCGGCACAAAGCCCTGAACCCAACAGGAAGTCCGCCATTTTGGAAAAACGACAACCAACTCTGTCGCGTTTTTGGCCATTTTCAAAATCTGTCTCCTCCTACAGGGAAGGTCGTACACACCTGAAAGTTGGCCAGCACAAACTACAGGAGGTGGTGATTACACGTTAGTAAAACGGTCCGCACACGGCGTGGAAATGGCGGCCTGTAGAATTTCACCAAAACATCATAAAACAGACGTGCTGTGTAACTGGCCTGTGTGTCCTCCGAGTCCCAGGCAGAGCGTGTTTCCACCACGGCCCGACACGCACGGCGCCGCGGCTCGCCACTAAACAGGAAGTGTCTCCTAACTCGCCCGCACGTGCTCCGATCTGCCCGAAACTCGACACGCAGGATCAAAGACCCACCCAGAGTGTGTTTCTGCCAAAACCCGACGTGCACGGACGCCAACAATCGTACGGCGAAGACCCGTCCATCGCTGCTTGCAGCTTTAATTCTGTAAACGTTTTTTTCACTTTTGGGCAAGTTTCAAGCAGTTTTGGCAAAGTTTTTTTAAATCCTTTTCATGGGTTTCAAGGAATTTCAGGTTTTAAGACACTGAAAAAGCTTTTGTAAAGTTTTTGAGTCATTCTGGACAGGTTGAAGTAATTCCTGACAAGTTTTTGTAATTTTGAAGAATAAAATAATATAAATTAATATAAAATAGAAGATTTTAACAAATATTCCACAGCTGGCATACACATTCCCACCTCCAACCACCGTTCTGGATATAAGATGCAATATTTCAGGATAAGGGCTGCAGGTGTATCGGTGGTTCGCACCGTTAGCACCTCACAGCTAGAAGGTCGCCGGTTGGCGTCCCGGTGAGGACACCCGGGATCTTCCTGCGTGGAGTCTCCATGTTCTCCCCGTGCAGCGTGGGTTCCCTCCGGGTTCTCCGGCTTCCTCCCACAGTCCAGAAACATGCTGAGGTTAATTGGTGATTGTAAATTGTCCGTAGGTGTGAATGTGAGTGTGCTTGGTTGTCTGTCTCTAAGTGTAGCCCTGTGATAGACTGGTTACCTGTCCAGGTGAACCTGCCTTCACCCTGAGTCAGCTGGGATAGGCTCCGCCCCCCATGACCCTGGTGAGGGTTAAGGTGTAGAGATGATGGATGGATTTCAGGATAACAAACCTCACTAAGGAGAACGATCATAAAAGATTGCAGAGCGGGTTTGGGAGATTGTTCATGCTGGCTGGGGTTCAGGGTCATTTGAGTCCTTTTAGACAGCTTTCAAGTCTCTTTGGACAAGTTTCAAGTCATTTTGGGAAACTTTTTGGAGACACTGTGAGTCACTGTGGGCAGGAATAATGACACCATGGACACCAGGCAGGAAAGGCTGAACTACAAATAAGGCACACTCAACACACAGACGGTAGAAAGAGATTTAGTCTCACTGTACAAGAAAAGTCTAACAAAGTGTAAATCCTTGTGCAGCATTTCTAAGAGCACAGCTCACACCGTGTTCGAGCTGACACGGTCCTCTGATCAGTGTCTGCAGGTTGAAGCAGCGCCACCGAGACCACGTTCAGAGGTCCGGCTGCAAAACTCCGACTTTAACCGAGGAGCCCCAACAGGTCGGTCGCCTTTAAATCACACTTTAACTGCAGATTGATGAGAACAGGTTCCGACGCGGTGACTAAACGGGCTTTTCGTGGGAAGACTGGAGCGACAAAAACTTCAAATCAACCACTAAACAACATTTCCACTCATACGTCGTCAGATCTTCACCGCAGTTTAATCTAATGACAGCTAAAGCTCTTTCTGTCAAAAACAAAATCAACAAAAACACTTTAGACAACAATGAAGCTCCGTTAAAGCCATCACTCTTAAAGATCCCGGATCAGAAACACGGTCAGAAGTCCGGCAGGAAAAAGCCCACTTCAACAGGTGAGCCCGAACAGGTGACAAGAGCTCCAAGAAGGTGGTTGAAACGGGCCGCCAGAGGAAAGATTAAATGCCCCACACCGAAAATGGGCAGCAAGCAAACAAACAAACAAACAAACAAACAATCTTAGATTCAGTTGAATCGGAAGCAGTTTGGTGCCTTGAGCTAAAAACAAAACACTTCAAAAGTGGACCAGAACAAACGGATTCAAGCCGATTAAAAACAACTTTCTCCTAAACCTCGGACACGTCTGCTGCCCGACCGAGTCCCGAACCGGACCCGCATCTGGGCATGTATCGGCTGGGAGTGTGCTGGAAGCGGCCCAGGTGGCTGCTGTCGGGCCGTGGGACGCGGGCGGAGCTGATGTTGTGATTCTCAGCGACCATTTCACATCCTCGCTCACTTTCACCAAACTTAGTTTGCGGAAGCGCGGAGTCCCGCAGCGACGTTCTGCTTCGGCTGAAAGTTCGTACAAAGTGTTAGCGGAGGTTTTTGCGGCTGTTTTGAGCGGCGATGTTGCGGATAACGGCGGGTTAACGGGGGGAGCGCTGCGGGCAGAGAGTCGGAGTGTTAGCCATGGTCCTGATCAGCCCCGGACAGCGCCTTCCTTCTTCACCGCCTCCATTTTAGCACAAACTACCAGCAACTTTCCAGCTCCGAGAAAAACGTCCCGGCGACGCCGCTCCGCCCGGCAGCCCGCACCCACCCACGGGGACACTCACCGACTCTTCACGTCCGAACTTTACTCGAACTTTGGTGGAGTTTTTGTCCACTTTTGTGGGTTTTTCCTTCGACGAACAGCGCAGACAGAAAAGTGGACACAAGTTTCCGCACATTCCTCCACAGGACGTACGGCCGCGACGTCATCACGTCGCCGCTGCTGAGCTGCAGGCTGTGAGGACTACAAAGACCAGCAGGACCAGCGGCCCTTCAGCTGTACTGACTACAGCCGTACGAAGTGCCCGGCATGCAGCTCTGAACAACCGAGTTTAAGCACAGGACAGAGACCAGTACTTGGTTTGGAATTCACCCTTGAAGTACAGAAAGTAAAATGTGGAATACACATTTTAAACCATAACTAATTGGACACAATGTGGTATTTTGTGAGAATAAACCTTTAAAAGTATGAGTACTTGGAAAGGAGCCTTTATGCTTCAAATATATAGACAGATAGTCGTATTTTGGGTGGGCTGATCCTTCAAAACTACAGGTACTTGGACAGAAAGAAGATTTTCTTTTTTGGTAGTATAAACCTTTATACTTCAAATACTTGGACACAAAGTAGTAGTTTGGTTGATCAAACCTTCAACTCTCAAAGAGGAAACACTACAAAACTAAAAAAAAAATGGAATTAAAAAATAGCAGAGAAAACTTGAGAAGGAAATTAAAATCTAAATATATATGTTAAAGAAATAATACAAAGAAAGGAAAACAATAAGGAAAAAAAGGGAAAGGAAGGAAGAAATAAAACTTAAGAAGTGATGAAATAAATTGGCAAGCTTATGAATACAAAAAGAGAAGTAATGAAAGAGGAAAATAAAACACTGAATGGTTAAGTAATCAGAAAAATAAATAAATAAATAAATAGGAGAGAAAAGGAAATCGGGGAAATAAATTTTTTTTTTTTTTTTTTTTTTTTAAAAAAGAAAGAAATAATGAAAAATGAATCAAACATTGAGAAGATGACCTACAAAAACGACTAAAAATGAGAGACAAAGGAATATACAATCAAAAATATATGTGTAAAGCAACTGGGAAGAAGTCGGAGATAAAAGAAGAAAAAGAATTAAAAAATAAAAATAAAAATAACATTTTTACTGACAGAGGCTGCTGGTTGTATTTTCAGTGATTTACCACATGGAGGCGCCACAAACTGTGGTGTGGCTGTCACTGTGGACATCACACCAGCACTTTATTTCACGTTTTTGATGATGATTTATCAGGTCAGACAGCTGATCAAACAGTCATTAGCGATCTATAACTGAAATCCTCGTGGAGCGGTCGCCTTGTTCAGAGCCATAAAGACATCAGTCATGCTGTTGAGGAGCATTTGGAGGCTCTGAAAGGACAGTGAAGCTTGAACATCTATGGACAAAGTGCACTGAAGTTCAAGGACACTATGTTAAACACTGTGCTGTCCTGGTAGAGCGGCTGTCCTCTGATTGCAAGGTTGGTGGTTCCATCCCCTCCACAGTCCAAGTGGCCTTGGGCAGGATGCTGAACCTGAAGCTGCTCCCGATGGCAGCAGCACCTTGCATGGCAGCTCTGTCTGTTGGTGTGTGAATGAGAAAACATCGTAAAGTGCTTTGAGTACCACAAAGGTAAAAAAGCGGTATATAAGTGCAGACCATTTACCAATAATGTCTCCCTGGTGAAGCCGAGAGTCCCCAGGTCCAGGTGGGACACAAGACCAACAGTAAGTAAGAACATCCTGCAGTTCCTGTTGGACTTCCAGTTCCAGGCTGACATGGAGCTGCTTGATAACCAACCTGATGCAGCTGACAGTAACATCAGGAACCACAGGAGAAAGGTTCAGGCCAAGGTAATGGGAGTATAATGTGACCCCCAAACCGGGAGAAAGGCCCCTGCAGGTTTCAGGCACAACATCTGTCCAGATGTGCAGTCCTAGCTACAGCTACGATGCTACACAGAAGGATTCTGTCAGAGGACTCGACTCAGTTACACCCCCTCATATAGACATATGAGTGTGAATATGTACACCCTAACCCTAACCCGTGTGTGAACGGTTATTTCCATTTTATTCTGAAGCCTGCGGCTGTATTTGACTTTTATTTTGAAGCCTGCCGCTGTGTTCGGCTTTTATTTTGAAGCCTGCAGCCGGAGGAAGTGTGCCGCTGGAGGCGTCGTGTCGCTGTGTAACTTGACGGATGAGTCCTCGGCAGGAAACTTCACAGACTCTCAGCGACTTTCTCGGGACTTCCAAACTCCGAAGCGGCGGCAGCTTCTGTCGAAAACCGGCGAAATTCGCCCGCGGACAGCTGTGTGAGGACTTTTTGGGGGAACTTTCCGTGTTTCTCGGCCGTTTTTCGGGCAGCTCGCTGACGGAGACACGGAGTTCCTGCGCCGTTAACCGTGTCGCGGTTAGCTCTGCCCGTTACTTGGCGCTGAGGAAGCTAACCGAGCTAACTGCTATCCAACTTCCACCGACGCTCGGCTCTCTGTTCCGGCTTCTTTCTGGGGCTTTTCGCCTTAATTTGACCGGACCTCGGCGGCAACCACTTCCCAGCGAACTTTTAAAAAATGGAGGCGGAAAGCAGCTAACGGTTCGGGAACAGAGAAGCTCCACTCTCCGCCGTTTTCGCCACCTCTGCCGGGTTCGAGTCGACAGCCCCAGGTCAGGATGCCCGGAGACTCCGCCGTGAACTTCAGCCTCCTGCACCGGACCTGCAAGCTGGTGGTGCTGCTGTGCCTCCTCCACATCTCCGTCACCGTCTTCTTTTACGTCCGCTCTCTGGACCTGCGCTTCGCCTTCGTCCAGAACCAGCAGTCCCATCATCACAATGTGACGGCCGCCACTTTCACTTCCCGAACCGAGTCGAAGGTGGAGCAGGAGGTCCGGCAGCAGGAGCAGCCACGGCCCGGTGGGAAGGAGGAGGAGCCGCAGAAGAAGCTGGAGAAGTGCCCCGAGACATCCCCTCTGCTCGGTAACTGATCAGTTCCATCGATCATCTCCAGTCCTGAGCTCTGAATAGCCGATTGATCAATACTGCTAGTCTGGGAATTAACTCATAAAATACTGTCAGCAGATAGAAAACATGTCAAACGATCAGAAAACCGCTTGAAATGTATGAAATACCAGATGATTATTAGTGCAACGTGTCCTAAACAAACAACAAACACAGTCCTGATAAGTTAGACGGAATGTTCACTAATGTGGAAGAAATCACAGATATCTTTAAACAATCTGAATATCAAAGCAGCTTCAATACAAAGTCAAAACATGTAAGAAATTAATCAAAAGTAAATAAAATAATAAGAAAAAAATGAATAAAGTGTCTCACAGATGTCTGATAATTCAACACAGAAGGAAACGTATCCCTAAATAATAAAATATTCCAATAGTGAATAAATAAAATGTCAGAGCAGCCTCACAAGAAGGTCTGAGAAGTAAAATGAAAAAACCCTCAAAAATCTAGAAGATGTTAACAGCAGTGATAAAATACAGCGTTCAATAAAAGCAGCATTTCCAGAGTAACAGAACATGTTAACCCTCAACCTTAACCCTTATCGAGACAGATTTAAAAAACCTAACCCTTAAAGATGTGTTTCATACATGTTTTATTACAGCTGCCACTTTCACTGACAGGACTGACATTCAGACGGTTATTTTATGTTTTACGCTTCCTGACATTTAGTGTTTAAATATGCTAATGAGGTGTTATTGTGGGAGCATCAGAGTCAGTAACAGAAATGTGTCACAAACAGATACCAGAGCTCTGTGGTGGTTTGGTGGCTCTTTGTGTGTTCCCTGTGACTCGCTGTCCCGTGTTGAACACCAGTCTGTCATGTCCACGCGACGAGAGCTCTGCTATGCCATCCAGTGTTTTTAAGTGCATGAGACTGAAACAGCAGACGAGACTGAAACAGCAGACGAGACGCTTTCAGCTGCTTCCTCGATGCCTTTAATCACCGAGTAGAGAGACGAGATGTGTGATCAGCAGAGCTGTGTGACCACAAATATGTGGACGCTTCCTCTGGCTGCCACATCACAGCTGGTTGTTGACCAGTGTTACATCACGACAGACACACAGCGTGAGGGAGATGCACACCATCACATTTTGTCTCATTGTGGGTTCAGCTTTTGCTGCACCTCTGTGGAAACAGCACAGCCATGGAGGAGGAGGGAGAGGCTGAACATGTCTGTGAGAAGGACAGAGACGTGTCCACAGGTGTTACCAACACTGGACAAAATGGAAGCTAAACACGCTGTAGATGGGTAACTGCTTTCACTGATAGAGATGATAGAGATGCTTCAGACACTGACTTGTCTGTGTGCTGTTTGTGAGTCATGGTGCTTTGTCTGTTTTCTTTACTGTCGGTCAACTGGTTTGTTTTGAGCAAACAGTTTGACACGGAGAGTTTTTTAATGAGAAATATAGATTTGGTTCCGTTTTGTGATGCAGCAGCACATCACAGATGGCACAGTCAGGACCATCAGAAAAGTTCTGCTTGGTCAGTTTCGGGCTGACAGTCACTTTGGAGGATTTCTTTTGACAAGCTGCTGACAGGTTTGAGTGAAGCTGACTAGCATCTGGTTACTTCTGACCTCTAGTTTGGGCTGTGTCGCCCACACAGCTGTTTGTGTCTAGATGTGGAAACCCTTACACTGAGCTCTGTAGTGTCCAGCTGTGATCCAGCTGTGATCCGGAGGTCGTCTCCTCGCTCTAACAGCATGTCTCCAGTCTGAACACTGAGGGAACATGGATGCAGGTCTGTTAGTCGGAATGTTTCCTCAGCGTTTTCCAGATGTGAGGGATGTGAACCAATGAACGGCACAGTGGATGCTCCTCCTCTTCCTCCTCCTCCTTCTTCTTCTTCATGGTTTGTGTCTGAGCTCAGGTTTCTGTCCTGTCTTCCTCTTCTTCTTCTTCTGCAGCAGCAGCAGCAGTTTGCTGCGAGAGAGGAGTTACAGGCTGCAGCAGCAGCTCACATCGTTAAGAGTCTCTGAGGAGGCAGTTGGTTGGAAACCAGATGTTTGTCTTCGTCACTGAGGCAGATGTAGACATGTCCAGTAGCACTGATGACAGCACGACTGGTGGCTGTTGGTTGTGTCATTACAAGTTGACACAAGTGTCCTGGTTTCACAATGAAAGTCTGCAGAACAGCTTCCTGATGAGCACCCAGCCTCCAAGGCCTCGTCCACCAGACACTCCGAACAGCCACAAAGAGACACTAAACTAACTCAAATAGACACAAAACTACAAAAAGACACTAAACTAACTCAAATATACACAAAACTAACTCAAATATACACAAAATTAACTCAGAGAGACACAAAACTAACTCAAATAGACACAAAACTACAAAAAGACACTAAGCTAACTCAAATATACACAAACTAACTCAAAGAGACACAAAACTAACTCAAATATACACAAAACCATCACAAAGAGACACTACACTAACTCAGAGAGACACTACACTAACTCAGATAGACACTAAACTAACCCAAATGACACTAAACTAACTCAGACACTAAACTAACTCA